AGGAATTTTTGAGATCTTTTTCTTCATATTTCTTAAGTATAGAAGCAGTGATTAATTGGTAAAGAAGCAATTCTTAGTGGGTTTTCATTTGTTTGGCTAGAAGGGTGTTTGGATGTTGAGAAAATGTTTTTTGTTTGAACATGGTAAAATGTTATGTCCATGTCATTACTTTTTTAAATTTTACGCTCCACATCATCAAAAAAAAATATAAAAAATGCCACATGTGCGGAGTTAACAGCCGAAATTAACAGAAGGACTAACGGTGTGCATTTGTTAGAGTTGAGGGATAAAAAAGTGCAAAAAATTGTTGAGGGATCAAAAATGTGCATTTCTTAAAGTTGAGGGACCAAATTTAGCATTTAACCCAAAAAAGGGGGTGTAAAGCTTCAAATTTTTGAGTTTTTTAAATTTCTTCTTCTTTTCCTCTTTTCTCATCAATTTTTGCATAGATAATTCCTAATTTGAGTTTGATATAGGGATTATCATAGGCTGGAAACAATAATCCAATCTTAAGACGCAGGAGTCAAATCTGATTAATTACGATTAACAATATAGTCAATACACTAAACTAAATTACAAGTTATTATTAATTGACTATTACCTATTTAATTGTTAATACAATTAAAAGTAGATGGAATTGATTATTAGAAAATGAAAGCAACCTACAATAATTGAATGAGAGAAAAGATAGAAGATTTTTTTTAAGCCTATACATGAATATTTATACTGTATTACAACAGCGTTTGAGCATGACAATGTCTCCTAGTTTCATTGAACTTAATCTTTTATTCTTTGTGAGACTTTAAAACTCGAAGTTGTGTCAGTGGAGGTTGGTACAACAAAAGTTTCTATGCATGGCTCTAATTCATCTTTTCTTTGAGATTTACTCCTTAAATTTGGTAGGGCTCTTCGAAAATTACTTCACATGTCCTAATTTATATAGAACTTATGTTTGGGTAAAACATCAATCCATCAACATGTTACAATAGATAATCTCCATATTAATAGTAGATTAAAACTTTGTTGACTAAAATCAAATATTTATTGATGCCAATTTAAACTACACTTCCAGTGCCGCATTTAAATATTTACTTTTTTTTTTAGGGTTTTTATTTTTTTAATTTACTATTCATATTTTTATTTAGTCGTCCAACTTTAAATTATCGTAATTATAAAGAATTTTATTGAATATATGAAAATACAATGGTTGGTGTTTAAATTTTCATTTTTTTTAAGAAGTATCTCTTTTTCATTAATAAATTAGAGTAATAGGGTAGTTTGGAATAAAATCATTCAATGTCTTTAAAAAATAGAAAGTGGAACAACTAAATGAAAGTAAAGAGAGCATTACTTTTGTCATGATTATATTCAATTGATGGTGATGCATTTGTATGG